AATGAAATTCTGGAGAGAAATAGCAATGTATTAATTACGTTGACTTTTCAATTTACTAAATTTGGTAAATAGGATACCTTATATAATATGTATAGATATACAAATAAATAACATGCCAAAATTTTAAAGAATAATTAATGTATTATAATTTATTATCTAGCCATCAGTAATATCATTTAATGATGTGATCATTATCTCTTCAATGATAAATAAAATATTAATTTAAAAAAAAAACATTTGTTTTTTATATACTCAAATAAAAATTAAAAAATACTATCGTCAAATATGAATTATAATATATATAAGTAAAATTATTGCAGAAGTTAATAAAATTATTTAAGTAAATAATATTTTTGATCATATTTGAATAGGAGATGTGTATATGCAAGCAATTAATGCATATAGTAAAAAATTTTCAAATAAAGTATGCATTAAATGTGAGTTGACTTTTCTTGCTACTATTTTTAGTAAATAGGATGTCTTTTAATATAAGTATAGATAGATTATTTTTATATTGCGTGAATTTCAGTCATTATACTCAAAATCATTCACTGTCTTAAATATACATCTTTTTTTCCCTCTAAAAACAATTTAGTTTAATTTTCACCTCATTTTTCTAAGTGAGGTATTTTTTTTTGTTTTTTTTTTCAAAAAAACTCTTATACTAGTTATATGTAGGGCGATAAATGAGCTCGAGCTGAGTCTGGGCTCTTAGTGAGCCAAAATTCAAGCTTCAACTCGGGTCGTTGTCAATTTTAACAAAGTATATATATTTTTTGTGTCATATCGAGCCGAATCAAGTTCGACTTGTTAATGAAACGAGTTTTAAGCGAGTTCTAAGTGTATGCAAAGAAGAACAAAAATTTTCTTGTGCACTTGACTTTTTAAGCCTCATATTGGATTTTGGTAATTATTTCACACAGTAATTACCAAAAATTCAATATGAGACAACTTCCTATGTTTAAACATGGTGATTTGAACTTTTTTTTTTAAGTTTTGCCTCCTCTTTTTACCAAAAAAATAAAAATTAAAATGACAAAATTAATTAAATAAATGTAAAACAAAGAGTTCAACTCATCAGTTGATGTTGGCTCACTTGGCCGCATAAAACTGCCGGCCGCCAACAGTTCGCCACATAAAACCGTCGGCAGTTGTAAATTGTCCCCTCTCACTATTATTACTTTTATTTTATTTTAATAATTTCATTATCAAGTGTTACAAGGTACAAGACAACCTATATTTCTATCAAAGTTCGTCATGGCTGACGTCATATTTTCGTTGACATACGTACGATACCTATCTGTACATCGCTCCTAGCGGCAAACACTTCGGTACGCCCTGGCACACCTAGCAAGGTGTGCCAATTTTTTTTTTAAAATGAACATGTTACGTTATAAAATGAACATGTGTAAGCATGTTTGCACATGTTCATTTTGTAACATAACATACTCATTTTAAATTGTCTTGACACATGTTGCTAGGTGTGCCCGAGTGCACGGTAGTAACACTGCTCTCTAGCCACGTTCTCAATGTCGACATAATTATGGCGGTACAAACTTGGAGATTTGATTTGAGTGTAACATTTCATTAATTTAAATTAAAAATAACATAATTAAAATTGAAAATTACAAAGTAAATTTAAATCTTAACTTGATAGCAATTGGAATTTATCATTATAAAAAAAATCTATGAACAGTGAAATGGTTAGTTGTTAGTAGGTATATTGTAATAATATTTAAAATAAAATAATTAAAATTGATTTGATGTAAAAAGTAAGAGATAGAAGTTGAAGTGATAGTTAGTTAAAATTATGTGAGTGGATAAATATTAAATAGTGAATTAAAGATGGTGTGTTGTGTAAGAATGAATGATTGATATTATTTAATTATAGTAAAATATTGATGATTTGATGTTGAGTTAAAGTTGAGTTAAAAAAGTGAATGAGTTAAAAATGATTGAATTTTTTTTAGATAGTTTTGTATCCAAGCATCAACTAAGAATTTAAAACAAAATACAACACTGTGTGTTTGTCAAACATTTATTCTTGAATTTTAAAATTAATATGAAAAATGTGTTTTATAATTTAAATCCTTTTTTACGAAAAATATATATTATTATATATTATTATATTTTTAAAAATATATCTTTATAATTTAAATTCTTTTGTTATTTGTACAACTTAAATGTGTTATATTACAATAATTTTTATAATTATATCATATAACTACTTGAAATATAAATATATTAGTTGATAAATAATTATATTTTTTCTATTTAGTATTAACAAGTAATTTTATTATTGTTAAAAAAATAATTTTTTTATTTTATACATACAATATGAACGTCAAATCAAAGCTCATAAGAAGATGATTAACCCGATATATTATATATGTAATACTAATAAAAATACAAAAGCTATTAACTTTTAAAATACATTTGCAATTCAATTACAATAATAAGAAATGATATTAAAATACAATTAATACATAGAACATGACCATAAATAATCAACATATTTATGGATAATCTGAACCTAATTATTTTTTAATTGAAAGTAAATTAAAACATATTCAAGTCAAATAATGAAGCATATAATTTTGCCACCTATAAATTATAAAGAATGCGAGTCTGCCACTGATACTCATCATATTCGAGAATTATTACAAATATCGAACAAAAAATATTTTACTCCAAAATAGCCGATATGAACCTCGTCACTCCAAGATTCGGCTGTATTTTTTGGTTGTTCTTTGCATTTGAGTTGGTTTCATGCAAAATAACAACAAATTAAAGAAAAAAATGTGAAAAAAAAAAACCAAATTACAACTCAACTCATACAAAAAATGGAACCAAAATTTTTTTATACTTAAAATTGCATGTAAAGCTTGGCCCACGGCCCACACCTACCAAAATATAATAAATGAGTCAATGAGAGATGCTAGGATTTACCACGGTAAAAAGTAAAAACTGAGGCTTTTATTCACGTTTGACCTCAAGCGCAAACATTTACGAGACACGAGCCGTGGAGGCTCGGGATCGAGCCTAGGGGCTAGGAGGCGGCTAATTGTTGACGCTAGATGACCTTGGAAATGACAGTTGTACCCCACAATTAATTACTTATTATTTACCTCCTTGAAAAAAGGCATTCTATGACCTCAGCGTTGGCTAAAAAGCCGGCGGGCCCACCACGAGCGGCTGTCGCGTGCCGCATAGCCCACTCGCCACGTGTCTGACAGCAACCCGTCACCTCAATACATTAAATCTATCCATTATTTAACTCAGTCACAATGTAATTTGCATTAGTTAAATATTATCCAAATTACTGAATGCATATATCAATATCGTAATCTTAATTTTTCATAATAAAATAAATACTCCCAATTATAAAATAGATATTTGACGGATTTATAAAATTTAAATAGGATTATGCAATTAAATATTTATTATTAGCCTTAATACTCTCAATTATTTTGGCATATTGGTGATGTTAATATGTTCAAAAAAATACATCACCAATATATGCATGCCACATAAACGGTGGACATATTAACATGTGGCCACGGTGAATAGTTGAGCATTACTGTCAATTTAAATAGGATTATCTTAATAACATGCCACAAATTCTATTCAATATTTTATTCATTGCAAACAATTTTCCATTTAAATAGTAAAAGGCATATAATATATATATTTTTTAGAAATCTTACTTTATCTATTTATCGATTATCATCAATAAATTTAAAATAAAAAAGTATGTTAGAGAAAAACATTATTCACAAATCACAATTGATATATTTAGAAATGCAAATCCTCATTAAAATATTTTTTGTTTTTACTTTTATATATCATTAGAAAAATCCTTATTAAGTTATATTTTTTGAGATTGATGTGAATAGAAAAATATGCGTAATTTAAAAAAAAATAATTTTCTATGAGGTTTATTTTTATTAATTTTTTGTTTCATATAGCGAAAAAAAAATATGATTGATAAAGTGAAATGACTAATTGGAAGGATAACAAGTAAAATAATTAATTCATGATATATATTTATAATTTCAACTAATTAATTATTATATAATTATAATTTTTATAAATAAATTTCAATTTCATTTAGGAATTTTAAATTATCAAAATTTTCACATATAAAAGATTCAAATTACAAATAAGATTACCAACTACTCAAATAAATAACAAATTTTAAAGAAATATTATGGTTTCGTTATGGTACCATTCAATCGAATATTTTAATCCACATTTAGTTAAATAGAATAAAAGATACAACAGTTAAAACACCCGACGGGAGGTACGTAGTCAGTACCACTTCCCCAAATTTCATATATCAATTTTCATATTTTGCAATATTATCAATATACATGTTCAACGTGGTCCCCACAAAGAAAATCAGATAAATGCAATCTGCTTCAGAAGCTGTGTCCTCCAACACAGTCCCTCGCACTATCTATAAATTCACCACCGCCCCTCGAAGCCTAAAAACTCTCCCCTTAATTCTATCTCCACCACCACTTGCGGCGGCGATTTTCACCTTTTTTTTCCCCTCAGGCGACAAGTTTTCAGTTTGTTCTAATCTCCACCAATAAATCATCCGTCTTAAAGACTCAGCTTCAATAGATATACTTCCTTATCTGGAAGAAACAAAAAATCTGCCATTTCCCTTTAGGATTGCTCTGTTTTGGATTTGACCGTCCCTTTTCATCTGAATCTTCTTTTTTTCTCCTCACTCGATTTGACCCGAAAACCAGTCGAATCGCCGGAAACGTCACACAAAATCCGACATTTTCCCTTTCGTGTTGCTCTGTTTTGGCTTTGCCCGTCCTTTTTATCTAAATCGTTTTTTTTTTCCTTCACTTGTTTGACTCGAAAACCAGTCGAATCGCCGGAAATTTGATTAGATCTGATTGGTTTGCGGTTGTGAAGCTGTGCAGCTGAGTGAAAGAAGATAAGATTTAAGGATTGTGGGTAGCTTTGGGATTATCAGGGATATGTCGGCTGTTTCGGGATCTGGGTTTCAGGTCAGAGGCGGCGCCGGCGGTTTGACTAGAACCGCCTGCGCGCCGAGCCACCAGCTGAATGCGGTGGCGGCTCTGGGTCGGAGGGTTCGGGCGTCCCGAGGATTCGCCGTCAAGCAGCGGGGGGTTGACCTCGAGAGCAGGTTCGTCTCCGGCGGGAGGGTATGCCGCGGAGCATTATCGGGATTCGAGAGGCTGCATCTGCGGCAGGAGGTTGGGTCGGGTCGGGCCTCAAAGATGCGGATCGTGGTGAAGAATGCGCTGTCTCAGGTGCCTGAGAAGCCGCTCGGGCTCTACGATCCATCCTTTGACAGGGATTCGTGTGGTGTTGGGTTCGTGGCGGAGCTTTCCGGTGAAAGCAGCCGTAAAACGGTACTTTCTGGTGAATTGTGTGTTTGTGTATGTGAATTTTCAGGTTGATGATACTTAAAGTTTTGATTTTTAGGTGACGGATGCTATTGAAATGTTGGTTCGAATGACGCACAGAGGTGCTTGTGGCTGCGAGACGAATACTGGAGATGGAGCTGGAATTCTTGTTGGGCTTCCACATGATTTTTACAGAGAGGTTGATTTTTTTTTACCTGATTTACCTCCAGTTCTGTAAATATTCAACAAAGATCTGTGTATTCTTCTCAGTAAATAAATTTGGTTGTTTGTTTGATGAACATGGAGTTAGTTTTTGACATCTCTTACCTCAAAATGAAGATCTTGTGAAAAAAAGGTAAAACTAATTTAACTAGATAAACAGCTTTAACTTCTTATTTGTGGTTCTTTTGAGTGAGTATGTTTTCTTTTTGTTCAACATAATGAATTTGGGATTATGTATTATGAAATCTGTTGTTGATGGTTTCTGGATTGTGTTTTCAGGCTACCAAAGATGCTGGCTTTGAGCTTCCTGCACCTGGAGAATATGCAGTCGGCATGTTTTTCCTGCCTACTTCTGACAGTCGCCGAGAGCAAAGTAAAGTTGTGTTTACAAAGGTGATTTAAATCTTTGGGTACTTCAAAACATTTTCTAGTCGGTTTGTGATCAACAACAGATTTGTATGTATGATGAATATTGGCCTGATAACATTGTAGGTCGCTGAGTCACTCGGCCACACGGTTCTTGGGTGGCGTTCTGTCCCAACAGATCACTCGGGATTGGGGAATTCAGCTATTCAGACAGAACCTGTAATTGAACAAGTTTTTCTTACAGCCAGTCCCCAATCGAAGGCTGATTTTGAGCAACAAGTAATAGGGCCTTTGGATTTTGCAACTTGGAAAAATAAAATTTTCCAATTATATCAACAGAGCTCTCATTTGTCTAGCTTTCATCATTTTATAACTTTCATCATTTTATTGCAGATGTATATATTAAGGAGGGTCTCAATGGTAGCCATACGAGCCGCCCTTAACCTTCAACATGGTGGAACGAAGGACTTCTACATTTGTTCTCTGTCATCAAGGTTTGTTTTCTGTGGACACACCATTGATAAACTTTTCTATTGCCAGAAATCCTGGTTGACTTTTTTCAGTTTTCTTAAAACAACAGGACTGTAGTCTACAAAGGTCAGTTGAAGCCCGACCAGTTGACGGGGTATTACTATGCGGATCTTGGCAATGAAAGGTTTTCGAGCTACATGGCCCTGGTAAATATTTTATCCGATTGCCTGTTTTATTTTCCATGCTGACCCATACTTGCAACGACAAACAGTGTTGGACCCCACCGATTAACTCGAGGGATTGCAAGGTTGAGGAATGACTTCTGAGGCATTGACAGTGTAAATGATCTCTTAAGTTCTTCTGCATCCTTGATCACTGTTTGAATTTGGATATGCCGGATTGTATTTCCTTTGGTGAGTTGGTAAGGAACCTCCATTACAAAAAAAGTAAATAATGTTTGCAGAAACTTGATGTTGTTCTGCTATAGATGGTCCGTTTTTAAGATCAAAACGGTTTTGTGGTGAAAAGAGGATTGCAATTGCTGAAGGTAGCCTAGGTCCCCATTACGAATGTTTTGTAATGGCAGCAGCTGTATGTAAATTTTTAATTGCTCCCTGACAACAAATTTAATGTCAGAGAGTTCATTATTTTGATACTTGACTGCAGTAGAATTTGTAATGTATGTTTGTCCTGAATTGTTTGTTGCAGATACACTCTCGATTCTCGACAAATACTTTTCCAAGCTGGGATCGAGCTCAGCCTATGCGCGTACTCGGGCACAATGGAGAAATAAACACGCTTAGAGGCAATGTCAATTGGTAGGTTATTGTATGCTTGAAAAAAATAGCTTCTTTCATTTGGGAGAAAAAAAGTCTTTTCGGGGACATCTCTTCTAGTTTTTTTGGAAATCCTAGGAGCTGTTCTGATACATCTAGTTTTCCTTGAAACTGATATGGTTTGTAATCAGGTGCCTGACAGCTGATGAAGTGTATCAGTATCATTGTACCAATCTTGATATGCTTTCTATCTGTATATTCTGAACTTCAATACAAGGAAATTGCTAATTGAAATTCTGCATCATATGCAGGATGAGAGCACGTGAGGGTCTTTTGAAATGCAAGGAGCTTGGCCTGTCAAAAACAGAAATGAAGAAGCTCCTGCCAATTGTGGATGCCAGCTCATCTGATTCAGGTAGTAGATTTATCAAAGTCTAACTTAACGAGCTTCCATGTTCAAGCAAGTTAATGGGAAGTTAAAAAAATAGCCAATTTTAATAATTACTGGATTTTTCTATGGCCATGCTATATTAGGTGCCTTTGATGGTGTACTGGAGCTTTTGATTAGAGCTGGTAGAAGTCTCCCCGAAGCTGTAATGATGATGATTCCAGAAGCCTGGCAAAACGACAAAAATATGGATCCTGAAAGAAAAGCTCTGTACGAATATTTCTCGGGTCTAATGGAACCTTGGGATGGCCCTGCACTAATATCATGTATGCACGCTCTTCCAAACATCACAAACCAAAAAGTTTACGCAATCTTATATTCTCTCTCGATTTTATGTTTGATTATTTTGCAGTTACTGATGGGAGATATCTTGGGGCAACACTCGACCGAAATGGGCTACGGCCGGGTCGCTTTTATATCACGCATAGTGGCAGAGTCATCATGGCTAGTGAAGTTGGAGTTGTCGATATTCCTCCGGAGGACGTGTCGAGGAAAGGAAGGCTTAACCCTGGCATGATGCTTCTGGTGGACTTTGAAAACCATGTTGTGGTTGATGATGATGCCCTCAAGAAACAGTACTCACTTGCTCGACCTTACGGAGAGTGGCTAAAACGCCAGAAGCTACAGCTGCAGGACATTGTCGAGTCCGTGCAGGAATCCGAAAGGGTTCCTCCTCTCATATCTGGTGTTTTTCCGGTGAGTATTACCTCCAGTCCCTTAATCTTTTTCGTTCTTTTTCTTTAATGTTTTTTTTGGTAATTTCAGAAGCTAAGGGTGCCATTGAATATTCGCTCCATGTGATTTTAAAATAGAAATAGTAAAACGATGATTGGAAGTAACTAGTAGAGTTGAAAATATGGAAGTTGAGTGAAATTCGTGTGAAGATAGTTTTATTGATTTGATGAATCCTATTTAAAGACGACTATAATTTAATTTCTTTAAAAAAAATATAGGCATCTCCTGATGACGAAAATATGGAGAACATGGGAATTCATGGTTTGCTGTCCCCGCTAAAAGCGTTCGGCTACACCGTTGAATCCCTTGAGATGCTATTGCTTCCCATGGCAAAAGACGGAGTGGAGGCCCTTGGCTCGATGGGAAATGATGCCCCGCTGGCAGTGATGTCCGACCGGGAGAAGCTTACGTTTGAGTACTTCAAGCAGATGTTTGCTCAGGTGACTAATCCCCCGATTGATCCTATCCGGGAAAAGATAGTCACCTCCATGGAATGTATGATTGGTCCTGAAGGAGACATCACTGAGACCACGGAGGATCAGTGTCACCGGCTTTCGCTCAAGGGACCTCTGCTCTCCATTCACGAGATGGAGGCTGTGAAGAAGATGAACTACAAAGGATGGAGGAGTAAAGTCCTCGACATAACCTTCTCCCGTGAACGTGGTAAGAAGGGCCTCGAGGAAACCTTAGACAGGATATGTGACGAGGCTCACAATGCCATCAAGGAAGGTTATACTACTCTTGTGCTTTCAGATAGAGGTATCCTATCCTTTGATCTTGTAAAAAATTGTTTTCTTATTTGTCCCATCAACTAAAATTGCTCTGTCTTTTGCATTTGTTTCGTTTAAGGTTTCTCGCCAAAGCGTGTCCCTGTCAGCTCCCTCCTTGCGGTTGGTGCTGTTCACCATCACTTGGTGCAGAAACTCGAGCGGACCCAAGTTGCGTTGATAGTCGAGTCTGCCGAGCCACGCGAGGTCCATCATTTCTGCACGCTCGTCGGGTTTGGTGCAGATGCTATCTGCCCTTACCTGGCAGTTGAAGCCATCTGGCGTCTCCAGGTGGATGGCAAAATCCCCCCGAAAGCCAATGGTGAGTTCTACACAAAGGAGGAGCTAGTCAACAAGTACTTCACGGCCAGCAGCTATGGCATGATGAAAGTGCTGGCCAAGATGGGTATATCGACCCTGGCATCGTACAAAGGCGCCCAGATTTTTGAGGCCGTGGGGCTCTCATCAGAGGTAATGGATCGCTGCTTTAAGGGGACTCCAAGTAGGGTAGAGGGTGCGACTTTCGAGGCCCTTGCACACGATGCGCTCAAGCTCCACGAGCTGGCATTCCCGAACCGTGCGCTTCCAGCTGGCAGTGCCGAGGCCGTTGCTCTCCCAAATCCTGGGGACTATCACTGGAGGAAAGGTGGTGAAGTCCACCTGAATGACCCGCTCGCCATTGCCAAGTTGCAGGAGGCAGCCAGGTCGAACAGCGTGGCTGCCTATAAGGAATACTCTAAGCGCGTGCAGGAGTTGAACAAATCCTGTAATTTGAGAGGTCTTTTGAAATTTAAGGAGGCTGAGGTGAAAGTGCCGTTGGATGAAGTCGAGTCGGCTAGTGAGATCGTTAAGCGTTTCTGCACGGGTGCTATGAGTTATGGATCGATATCGTTGGAGGCACATACAACACTTGCTATTGCAATGAATAAAATTGGAGGGAAGTCTAATACAGGTATGAGTTTAATTTCGATTCTTTTAAATGGATCACATGAGGCTCTTCTGTATGTGGTTTAGATGTTTTATATATTCTTGATATCGATAATAGGTGAGGGAGGCGAACAGCCGTCTCGCATGGAGTCTCTCGAGGATGGCTCGAGAAATCCCAAGAGGAGTGCTATTAAGCAGGTAGCCAGTGGAAGATTCGGAGTTTCTAGCTACTACCTTACGAATGCAGATGAGTTACAGATAAAAATGGCCCAGGTATATACACCTCCTTTTATATACTACTCCCTTGTAATTTTCAAGATTTTGTGGTTCGACTTCGTTCTGTGTTCCTGTCTGTGTTTCATTTTCTATATCCTGCATTTGGGGTCGGAACAGAGGTTCCTTTTGTTTATGAATTTACGTTCATGGACAGATGATGCCGTTGTGTGAAGCAAAGCACCTTACGGTGTCTTTGCGTCATTTAATGATACCTGCTTTTGGCATTTGGTGAGAAATGTTTACTTAACATGCTTTATATGTGAAATTATTACTGTTATCGCTCATTTCTCGAGTTTCTCATGCTTGCAGGGAGCAAAGCCTGGCGAAGGGGGTGAACTTCCCGGACACAAAGTCATCGGCGACATTGCCGTGACTAGGCATTCCACTGCTGGTGTGGGCCTCATCAGCCCTCCTCCCCATCACGACATTTACTCGATCGAGGATCTCGCTCAATTGATTCATGACCTCAAGGTAAGTTTTCAAGATTCTCCGAGTTTGTTCAAAATAGTTTGTTTTAAC